TTCTTTTTGGTATGTAGTAAGTTTCACACGAGCAACATTTGAAACTTGGAGTTTAGTTATTTGAACAATAATTATGGTTTGCTATGCACCTATTAGAGATGGGTATGCCATACTAATTCAAGGGTTTGGGGCGTGCGTGATGTGACCTCAACATGAGATGATAATGAATATCTCGCCCTCTTGACTTAAATCTTCATACAACCAATCATTTTAATACTCTACTTAGTTACAAGCCACACTACAAGACACGATAGTTTAGATGTACTCTTATTTCAGTATTACTAGACCAAATAATTATTCTTTAGTCGCATTTCAATTTGATTTTGAGAGTTGAGAGTTAAATGGGTTGTATGATTGAAATAGAAATATTATGCAATAGTTGTTCCTAGTTTTGTATGAGATCTTTCTTGAATGAGAACATAAAAATACATTTTTAAGTCTATTTACGCACCGACTTGTTTGTTATATAGCCTTCTTGATGGGATCTCTCGTTTTGGATTGGGGATGGGTCACCATGGCTTTTGAGCTGGATCCGAGATGATCTCCTGTTGGCGTGGTAAATCCATGATGTTTTAGGACGCGTTTGGAACTGCTTTTAAAATGATTGAAAATTTTTTTTTTGAAAATGTTTTTGGAACTAATTTTTAGTAAAAATACAAGTGAATCCTTAAAATAATACTTGAAGTGCTTCTTGCAAGAAACGCCAGTCATTTTAAAAACACATCCAAATGAGCCCTTAGATAATGTAACTTTAGGTAATATGCCTTAAGGTTGATGTTATGTAACAATTTTGCTGGTTGTACGGATTGTGTAGATTCTCTTTTTCCTTTACCTGTGGCCCTTTTTTATGTAGTTATACCCGAAATAAGGTTTTTCAGAGGTGCTTCTTGCAACACATTTTTGTTTGTTTGATATACACCTTGTTCTATTTATTGAACGATAGGTTTTCTCTAGGAAAAAAAAAGAGTACATATAACACTAAGTTTCTTCAAATACTGAATACTGATCCTGAATTAGATATTCAAATTTTGATCAATTAAAATATGGTCAACAAACTGAATGGATATTGATGAACTATACATTCTTTTTTTACTTCACTAAAGTAACCTATATGAGTGTGTGTCTCTTATAATGTAATCGCAATAGTTCATTGTATAATTTGACACATATATTGTTGAGAAATGGTATCGGCACCATTTTTTTTTAATTATTCACATCTTTGTTTTATATTCATTGATTCTTTTTGGATTAATAAAATTCAAATGTTAGATATAAACAGACGTATGCATGCGGAAAAAAGAAATGTGTGAAAATCACTTCTCTATCCGTTTCTAAATGAAATTATTCATTTGTCAAGCCACTTTTCATAGGATGAACATAATAGAATTTTAAGTGAAATTGATTGCAGAAATAGGAAAGTTATTTTTTTTCAAACAACAATGTCAAGCATGGACGGGCCAGGTTGCAATGAGGTTGTATACCACTAATACATGATTAGGTGGCTTAAAGTAGGTTGCAATTTGATGTCACTTGATTAACTATACAAAGAAACGTTCATACATGGGATTGGGTTAGGGTAAAAAGTAAATATTGAAGCAATGGAGGTATATGATATTCTTCCAAGAACTCCCACCACCACCACCACCACCACCAAAAGTTAAATGCTCTATCTACTTTTGGCTTTTCCTATAATTTACTTGTCCCCTTGTCCTGATGTTAGAAGAAAGTACCAAGTGGATGGTGTATGTCTGTGGAAAGAATCCAAATACAAGTTTTGGATTTGGAGGCACTTGGGAGGCTCCTCCTTGCAATCCCCACTATTACCCACTAAGCAACAAGCAAGGGTGTTGTTTTGTTTTGTTAGGACATGTTTGGAAGGGCATTGTGTTGGAGAATAGTCCCAAACTTTGGCCAGCTCTTATTCCCATCCATTTCACTTGGTGACAAATCCCAAGTGAGAGTGAGAGAGAAACAAAGTAACACACCAAACATTTTAGATAGAGAAAATCTAGAGAGAGAGAGAGAGAGAGGGCACTGTATTTCAGAAATTCCATATTCCTCTGGACACCCTCCAAAGGACAAACAAAACAAATTAATGACGACAAAAGGCAGCCTCTAGTATTGTCGCCAACGTAACGCAGCCATGGAAAAGTCCTTCAAAACAAGAGCTTTTTGTGCTATTTCACTCACTTTGCAGCAAAACTTCACATCACAAACACAAAACCCTTCTGAGTTTTCTCGAACTCCACGCCTTTGATGCATTACTAGGAGGAGGCTCCAGCCAGCCACCACCATTTCAGGAAACTTTTCTGAGTTCTTTCCATTTGAAAACCCAGTTGGGAGTTTCCATGTCGTTTGAACTTGGTGGGTTGTTTATTGGAGGAACTAACTAGTTACTTTCTCTGGTAATTCCCTGGCTCTGTGTATCATTGTTTCTTGCGATGTGGAAATTTATATTTTTTTTACGTATGCAGTTGTGAATTTGTTGTGATTTTTTTTTTCTATTTTATGCTTTTTTGTGTGGCATGATGTTGTGTAGGGGTTTTTGGTTGATTTGTTGATGAAAAAAGTAGACATTTTAACCTGTAAAATTCCCAAGAACTTACATTGTTGAGTAGCAAAGGAAATATTTTAGGTCACTTGTTAATGTTTTTTTAGTTTTGTTAACTATGGAATCATTTCCGAGAACAAAAATCAATTTTCATACTTTTTTTTTCATTCTTTTGCTCTGTTTCTCAGAAACTATCTGTTCAGTTTACCAGATTCGTATCATATTTACAGGGATTCAAGATTAATTTTACTTGTGTGTTTTACTTAGATATACCAAAGTCAGGTCTGTGTGAAATTACAGGTATGGTACTTTGGACCTCATGAGCTAGGTCAGTTGGTCAAGGTAGACGAGTTCGAATCCTCAGCCCCATAGATAAGAGTAATTTAGACTATTGTTTGTATTATAGGTACTTTGAAATTTCAGGTCGAAAATTTCTGGTCGAATCTAAGTGATTCATTATTTGGAAAACAAACCTGTGGAATAAAACACTGAAATCAAATTCTAATTTATTTATTTCATCAGCTGCTTTCTTACTGGTCTAATTCTTGCTGTTTTGAAACAGTTCTGGCAATCTGATCTTCTTCATCCCCTCATTGTTTTCATCGTTAATTGAAAAAATGGCACAAGAGGACGGGTCACCGGTAACTTCATCAGCGCTGCAGTTCTTTCCCTGGCTATCTCCTGGGATAGGATCTCCATACTCACCATGGCTCAGGGAGCTAAAATCTGAGGAGAGAGGTTTATGCCTGATCCAGCTTCTGTACGCCTGTGCTAGCCATGTCGCATCAGGTAGCATCGAGAATGCAAATATTTGGCTTGACCAGACTTGTCAGCTCGCCTCTCCTGATGGTGATTCAATGCAGAGAATAGCTGCTTATTTCACCGAGGCACTTGCAGACCGGATGCTTAAAGGTTTGCCCGGTCTGCATAAAGCGCTTAATTCAACAAAAATATCATCAGTCTCGGAAGAAATTCTTGTTCAAAGGCTGTTCTTTGATCTCTGTCCTTTCCTCAAGGTTGCGTATGTGGTCACAAATCAGGCCATAGTGGAAGCCATGGAAGGGGAGAAGATGGTTCATATTATCGATCTTCATTCATGTGAGCCTGCCCAGTGGATTAATCTGATTCAGACATTAAATGCACGACCTGAAGGCCCCCCTCATTTGAGAATTACTGGCATTCATGAACAAAAAGAAGTATTAGACCAAATGTTTCTTCGGTTGACAGAAGAAGCTGAAAATCTGAACATCCCATTTCAGTTCAATGCTATAGTTAGCAAGCTAGAGAACCTTGATATCGAAAGTTTGCGTGTCAAGACTGGGGAGGCTCTGGCAGTCTGCTCCGTACTGCAGCTACATTCTCTCTTGGCAAGTGATGATGATCATAGGAGCAAAACACCATTAGCATCTAAGAACCTGCAGAAAGTCTTGCATATGAATAAACTCACTTTAGGAGAGTGGCTGGAGAAAGATCCAATTAACGGCAGTCCCGATTCTGCTTTGTCCCCGCTATCCAGTGCTTCACCAAAGATGGGGAGTTTTTTAACTTCTCTTTGGGGCCTTTCGCCAAAACTAATGGTAATAACAGAGCAAGAGGCAAACCACAATGGCCATACATTGATGGACAGGATCATGGAAGCATTGTACTTTTATGGAGCACTTTTTGATTGCTTAGAGTCTACAGTATCGAGATCACCAATGGAGCGACAGAAGGTTGAGAAGCTGCTTTTCGGAGAGGAAATAAAAAACATCATAGCATGTGAAGGAACTGAGCGAACGGAGAGGCATGAGAAGCTTGAGAAGTGGATTTTAAGGCTTGAGTTGGCTGGGTTTGGCAGGGTGCCTTTGAGCTACAACGGAATGTTGCAGGCTACGGAGCTGTTGCGTGGCTATGACGGGTACAAGATTAAAGAACATAATGGATGTGTGGTTATTTGCTGGCACGACAGACCTCTTTTTTCGATTTCAGGCTGGAGGTTTAGGAGATACCAATGATGTTGGTCGACCATCCGGGGATTGAGTGCTGTTTTCTTTTTCTTTCTTCTGTCCCTTTTCTTGTTTGTGTAAAGAATTTTAAGCATTTCTTCCTCGCCAACTGCATAGTGTCTTCCTCAGAAAGATTCGGAGAATTTATTATCTGTTCTAAATTTTTTGTTATCTGTTAATCTGTGTGCTTTTTTTCTTTTCTCTTTCTATACAAACACTGATGTTGCGCTTTTGGCATATTTTCTTTAGGTTGATTCTTGTTCTATTGATACTTCAAAGTTAAACATGTTTGGGGTTTGAAGTCAAACATATAGGTATTTCAAGAAGTGGAATATCACACCATTGCTATTCAAGATATTAATTCTAAATCAACTTGGCACTACAGTATAGCAGAATTCCTCTCCATTTGTAAGTTATAGACCTTAAGTTCAAATCACGTGAATGGCAAGTTCGTTAAGAATTTATGATCCCCACCTCTCACTGTAAATATATCGTTGCATATACATATATAAAATATTCTAAATCAGCACAACATAGATTCATGAAAGGCAACACAACTAATCAAGAAAAAGCAACAAAATTATTTGTATTACATTTACTGACCACATCTCTAATTGAGATGATCTGATACAATATCGTTACACTTCAGTAGTGCAACACAGACACATTGTACTCAACAACAGCATCTCCAGTTTTCATGCTCATCGAAAATGTCTTCGCCAATGCATAGCCCCGTGCATATTGGAAAACCCCAGTACCTCCAACAATAGGCATCTCTCGGATGGCTTCCATAAATGGATTCCTCCCTAGAATGCTTACGGTACTACCATTGTACATACCGTCTAGAAAAGCAAAGTTCAAGACCATAAGCAACCCTGAGTCATGCTGAGAAGCAACAGCATAAATCCCCTGAGCTCTCCCCACAAGCTTTGAACTAGGCTCTGGCCCTTCTGTCAATGGATTGTCTGCCATGAAAGTTGTTCCGAAACCACCAACTGAATCGTTTGGTGGTTCAACAATTTTCATGGCAGTTGGGTTCTCGCCGTCGTGGATGTCATGGAAATAGAAGTGAAGGCTGGTAGTTTTCTCCATTCGTTTTGCAGATAGGGATAAAAGAGATTGCTCTGAGAATATTCCATGAATGGTACTGAAGGAGGTTGATAAGATGATGGAGTAGCAGGCAAAAGTGGCAAAACAAACCATTTTGGTTCAGTTTTCAGATGTATTGTAAGTGTTGCAAATGGTTATTTATAGGATGGTAATGATATAGAAGTGGGGAATGATGTCTCTTCCTTAGTTAAGAGAGTGTGGATTCTTTGCATGCGTTCTTTGTTGAATAAATTATAACCCCGTGCTTGGTTTTCGATCAACAAGAGCGCAGCAGGGCAATGAATATAATTTTATGATATCTTCAACAGAAATTTTATGTTACTCAGAACACTTGTCACTTTAGTGTACTTTTCCACATGGTTGGTTAATATGTCTCTACTTTATGGTATATTAATAAATAAATAAAACGAAATACACATAATAATTTTAGTAGAGATAACATTACGTGGTAGTCTTGTTTCAGATATATCGATCTATCATGATTGACAGTGGAGAAAAATGGTATTTGTGTTAAAGTCATCTTTTATCATATGAGTTCCACTAGTGTTAGAGCTCAGTGAGCAATGTAAATCGGTTTTATGTGTCTGAACAATATTACCTTTTTTTTTTTTTTGACAAAAGAAATTTAAGTGTAACGACATATTAAAGTTTTTTTTGGCTCATTTTCTTGTTATCAATCAATTGTATTGTCCAGTACTTATTGCCAAATCATGAGCATTTCTTTTTTTGAAAGCATTCATAACTTGGATTAGCTAGCTTTATTTACTGCTAAGCAAAACTTTGACATTTTTAGCTTGTCAAAAACCTTGCTGCACGTATATTTCTGTGGTACCAAAAATAAAGGGTTTTAAAGTTTTGTAATTGTAAATTATATACGCTTACTAAATTGTAGTGAACTATGGCGACAAACAATTTTCTATGCTTAGTGGGAATTCGATTGATTCCAGACGAAGTGATAGTGTGCCAATTGCCATATGATGATATGATAACACCTCTCAGAGCATGCTTGCTTCACAAACAAGGCTTTCCAGTTGTATATAGTACTTTATATAGCAGGTCCTCGAAACCTTATGGATTCTACCCTGCCTATTCTCTTTTATATTTTTTTCTTTGTCTGAACTTGCTAATGTAGTTTCATTTTTCAAACCAAGTATTTTTGTCGGATAAATAAAGTTATTCTTGAGGTGTCATTCAACACATCTAAAGTGACAATTCTCGAGTAAGGGTGTCCAGTGCTATTGCTGAGGCCCTACAGGATGATTAAAATTTTTTGGGTTTTTATTAGAAAGTCTCTAAAATTTATCCTCACCATCAAGATAGTTTGTGAAATTGAAAATCAATCAATGTAGTCCCTGAAAATAGGTGTCGCAAATCAATTTTGTCATTCCATTACAATTATATTAAAAATTTCGTTAAGTGTTGATGTGGCACATAAATGGGCCCCAAAAGATTTATGGATTTTTTTCACAAATGATCCCTAAAATTGACTCACACCATCAAGATGGTCCCTAAAATTGATCCACACCATCAAGATGGTCCCTAAAATTGAAAATCAATGAATGTAGTCCTTAAAAATAGGTATCGCAAATCAATATGATCATTCCGCTACAATTCTGTATAATTTTTGTTATGTGCTAATATGAATTTAATAATTAATTAAAAAAGTTGTCTAAATATCTTTTTGCATTATAGAATTTTTTTTCTTATAGTAGGACCTACTCCGAATAGAGATCTTTTTCATAAATTCTCAAAAGCACAAGGCTTAACCAAGGCCTAAGATGGGGTTTGGAAATAGTTTTCAACCAACAATAGACGCATCTCGGTTATAACCTCATTATCTCAAGGCAAACCTCGTTGTTCTTTGAGTCACCAGACCACTAGGGAAGCGCCGAACAAGCTCTCCAAGGTTAAGGTTGTGAGGATGTTGATCACGTAAATGTTAACGGTGATGTCCTAGAAGTCGTTGCCAATCAGCCAAGTCGTCACCAAAGGTGATCTCGATCCAGGTTCATTTCAGTGAAGGGTGTCGAAGTGTGTAAAGATGAGTGTATTGAGATTTTTTTTTTGGAGAATAGACAATGAAGAAGGTAGAGGATTGTGGACTAGGATCGAAGGTGATTGCAAGACTGGGTTTTTGGGATCATAACTTGTCACATCCCGGCCCGAGGTGGATCATTTCCCGGATCCGCTCCACCACCGTAGCACGATATTGTTCGCTTTAGGCTTACCATTCCCTTTACGGTTTTGTTTTTGGGAACTCACGAGCAACTTCCTAGTAGGTCACCCATCCTGGGAGTGCTCTGGCCTCCTTCTCGCTTAACTTCAGAGTTCCTACGGAACCCGAAGCCAGTGAACTCCCAAAAGGCCTCGTGCTAGGTAAAGATGGGAATATACATTTACGGATCACTCCCCTGGGCGATGTGGGATGTTACAATCCACCCCCCTTAAGGGCCCGACATCCTCGTCGGCACACTTCCGGCCAGAGATTGGTTCTGATACCAATCTGACATGCCCCGATCCTGATATCCTCGGGACATTGCACTTAATAAATGGCTTTCGTCACCCTTAGGTGTCGGTCAGCACGTGCCTATCCTGGTATTCGGGGAAATATCAAGATCGTATTGTCACATCCCGACCCGGGGCGGACCACTTCTTGAGCACGCTCCACCACCGTAGCACGATATTGTCCGCTTTGGGCCCCGACCACGCCCTCACGGTTTTGTTTCTAGGAACTCACACGAGAAGTTCCCAGTGGGTCACCCATCATGGGAGTGCTCTCGCGCGCTACTCGCTTAACTTCGGAGTTCCGATGGAAACCAAAGCCAGTGAGCTCCCAAAAAGCCTCGTGCTAGGTAGGGATGAGAATATACATTTAAGGATCACTCCCCTGGGCGATGTGGGATGTCACAATCCACCCCCCTTAGGGGCCCGACGTCCTCGTCGGCACACACGCGGCTAGGGTTAGGCTCTGATATAACTTTATTAACTATTAAATTATTGGCATATTTGTCGATTTGCCCCCTAAACTTTAATTTTAGTCAATTACCCCATTGAACTTTTAAGAGGTCGCACTTGGTGCGATGGCAAGTGCCTTCGCCCATGAACGGTAGGTCTCGGGTTCGAGACTTGGGAGCAGCCTCTCCATAAATGGGGGTAAGGCTAGCCGACATTCACCTCTCCCAGACCCTGCGTAAAGCGGGAGCCTTGTGCACTGGGTACGACCTTTTTACCCCATTGAACTTTTATAGTTAGCCAATTCCCCCTTGAACTTTAATTGTAACCGATTATCCCCCTGAACTTTTATAAATAGCCAACTTCCCCCTTGGCGTTAGATTTTTAAAAGAATTCATCTAATTTTCCATCCATCTCGTTCACGGAAAAAACACATGACAACTATATGAGAGCAAAAAGGAAAAAAAAAATTGGATGGATGAAAAATTGAATGAAAGTTTTTAAAATCTAATGCTGAGGGGGGAATTGGCTATTTATAAAAGTTCATGAGGGAGATCGGCTAAAATTTATGTTTAAGAGAAAATTGGCAGCTTCATACAAGTTTAAGGGGCATATCAACAAATACCTCTAAATTATTAAACTTATTTGTAATTTTTTAATTTAATTAGACTTGTTTGATCCATTTATGTGTTACATCAGTACATAACAAATTTTTTTACAAAATTATGACGAAAATGCTACATTGATTTGGGACACTTGTGAGACTACATTGATTGATTTTCAATTTCATGAACCATTTTGATCTCGCAGGTCAATTTTAGGGACCATTTTGATGTCGCGGGTCAATTTCAAAGATCATTTGTGAGAAAAAAAAGACTTATTGGACCTATTTATGTGTCACATTAGCAATTAACGGAATTTTTAACAGAATTGTGATGGAATGACCACATTGATTAATGACACCTATTTTCAGGGACTACATTGATTGATTTTCAATTTCTGGGACCATCTTAATGGTGATGGTCAATTTCAAGAATCATTTGCGATAAAAACCCAAAAAAAATTTGAGGTCTATATATTTACGTATATAATTTTTTTTAAATAAAAAATAATTAAATATATACATTAGAGTTATGCAAAAATGATTTGTTAAACAAAACTACTACTTTTATTATATATTTATATCATCATTTGTACTATATTTCTAGTAAAAATTAGACCCACATGAGTTGGCAGGCCTTACCTGTATTAGAGAAATGATACAAATAGATAGTAAATGTAGCATTACTTTTTGTTAAAACAATTTTTTCTCCGTAAGATAGGCTCAATTATGCTTTTTGCTTTTTTCTATTCTCTCATTGACTTTGTATCTATTGCGGACCATTAAATCTTAGATCTTCGCCCTTTTTAATCCGCATTTAAATTTGTTATTTATATATCCCCTTATTTTTATATGGGTAATGATAGGAAAAGACTAAATTTCTAAACTAAATCTTGTAAACTAAATGATATGGTTGTTGATGACTAAATTACTACTTAAATGTTAATTAACGTGCTTACTTACCATTGGTAACACATCACTTAAATAACAAATTTAAACTCTCTAGCATTATTCCTTTTTATTCTTTAATTTTGCTCATCATATTATGCATGTACCCTTATCTTTATTCCAATGAACCTACTATGTTTGAGCCCAAAAAATTATTAAATATGCACACAAAAAAGTTAAGAGGAAACAATGAGTGTGCCAAAAAGACCCCATTGTAACCTTTCGTCCTCGACAACCAAAAACTCAATAACCCTTACTAACTGATGAGTCAATATTATATTATATATTTTACCATATTCTTAGTATAATTTGGTAATTATTTTGGTAGTCTTTTGATACTTTTGATTATATTTTTAATGTAAGACATTTGACTTTCTTTAGAGCAAAAAGTATTTAAACGGATGAATTTTGAAATTCTAATTGGAGGACGTTCATGAGTCTTTCAAGATGATTGTATCAAAGTTCCAGATTTTTCTACCAAGTCGTTTGACCGTGGCAATGAAATAAAGGCCCAGCGCGCAGCTTTCCCAGATTGACGTTTCTGGACGTTTTGGGAATTTTGGAGGTCAAGATGACATATTTTAAAGAAGATTCCTTCTGATGATTTATAGAGGACGTCTCCAGCTTTCA